GTGTTTCAGCCCTTAAGGGGATGATCGTAGTGGTCCTCCTCGTTCTCTGTAGTCAACCGGGCAGAGCTCTGTGCTCACAGGAAGGGCCTGGGAATTCTGCGCTGTGATTGGCTGGGGGTGGCCATGTGACCGGTGCTGCTCTCTCTCTCTCTGCAGTGTGGGCGCAGTGCCACATCCTCAGGTGCAACTCGGAGTTCGTGGCCGCCACCCTGGAGCTCGGGGGGGGCCCTGGCGGCGCAGGCGGGCGCAGCACCGCCCCGTACTGCAGCGCCCTGCGCTCCTACGCCCTCTGCACCCGCCGCACGGCCCGCGGCTGCCGTGGCAACCTGGCCTACCACTCGGCCGTGCAGGGCATCGAGGACCTGCTGATCCAGAACCGCTGCCCCAAGACGGGCCCCACCGCCCCGCCCCCGGCCCGGGCCCCGCCCCCGGGGGACGCCTGCAGCTACGAGAGGGGCTACCAGCAGAGGGAGGGCCGCCCCCCCGAGTACCTGCACTGCGCCGTCTTCGGGGACCCCCACGTGCGCACGTTCGGGGACGACTTCCAGACCTGCGCGGTGCCCGGCGCCTGGCCGCTCCTGGACAACCGCTTCCTGTTCGTGCAGGCCACCAGCGCGCCTGTGGGCCAGGGCTCGCCCGCCACCGCCCTCAGCAAGGTAGGGGCCCCGTCTGTCTGTCCCCGGACCCCCGGAATCCCCCCTGCTGCTGCTAGCTCCTTGACGCTGCCCCCCCCCCCATAGGTGGCTGCTGTAGATGGCACTGGCGGACCAGTAGGTGGCGCTGTTGCCTTTACACCAGACTTTCCATGCCTGTGTCCCTGTATGGTGACTGCAGACACTGTGCCGTCGGAGATCCTGCGTTTCGGATTAAAGGACGTTATTTTAACATTGATCCGATGTCCTGGCTTTTTGATCATTAAAGGTGTGTGGAGTTTTTTTTTGCAAGAGCGGGGATGTTACCTGCAGAGTCCCGGAACATCACCCTAGCGTTGCACAGTCTGATAACTAATCGAATTGACTGGATTAATTAATTAATTAGATCTATTAATTTGATGGAGTGGGTCCCCTACTGTATCTAAAAGGGAATAATTAATTAACTGGGGATTATAGCTGTGATTGCAGACGTACTTTCAATGCAATTGAAACAGTCTCTAGGATCAATGTTGGTTCCAATCTGGACAACAAACAGGAGAAATTAGAGGCACTTATGAACTAATCATACATAAATTCGGAGTCTTGTCTCTGAAAAACCCTGCGTTGTTGTTGTTTTGACTTGAGTCCCGCGCAGCCGGGCGGCCAAGGCAACACGTGCCAGCACACATTCCCAAACCTGGCGCTCCTCTGTTACGTCACTGCCGCGAGCGGCGTGTCGTGTCGTGTCGTCATCCCAGTCCTGGATCACCAACAGCGTGTGCGCAAGTCTTCATTCCCGACACTCCCCGTCCCCCGCTCTTCATCACTGGCAGTCGGAAAGTTTGACTTACAGGTGATGTTTATAGAGATGCAGGGTACGAGGTGGCGCAACAGTACCGACTCTAGAAATAACCACTAGGGGGCGCCAAGTCCCCAAGGTTAGGCCACCAGCTCGCCAAATATATGCTACAGTTGTGAGACGACCGCAGTTTCAATTTAGCCTTTTTGTTTATTGGGAAAACAGTAATTTAGTAATAATACAGTCTATGCATTACGCACACAACCCGACGAAATTATACCTCTTTTTGTCAATTACCGGTGCTTATCTAGTATTAACCCAAAGCTCCGTGAAGTTGCCGTGGAAAAAGGTGATAAACTGGTCCCATTAAGCTGATAATGGGCAAAATTAGGTCATTAAGAGCTGAGCTGGAAGCAAAAAAAAATAAAAACTTGTTTTATTGTTTGAAGGGGGGGTAACTTCACCAAGTTCTAACCCAACAGGCGGGTAACCCGACTGCACTAATGTGGGTGAAAACGGTGTTATCCTGCTGGAAGATGCCCCCGGTATTGCGAGGACGGGTTATGTCCAGTATGGATCCCGGAATGGCTGCTGTGTCTGAAGACGAGCTAATCTAGATACACGAGATATTCATTTTTTTTGGTTGATGCTTTTATGCTCATTTTCATCCATTTATCTATGGGAATGTTACTGGAATAAGGCGAAGTACCCTGCTCAGAAAGTCCTGCTTAGCCACAGGGCCCCATCCCGTGACATAACATTGGACAACGTTTCAATGTTTTCTTTTAACTGTGACGTAGTGCAATTCACGCGTTTACCGCGCGCGTACCCCAGCTTGCTCTCCATGAGACACACAGACAGGGAGAGAAGCTGGGGGTCAGAGCGCAGGGTCAGCCATTGTACAGCGCCCCCGGAGCAGGGGGGGTGAAGGGCCTTGCTCAGGGGCCCAACGGGGTAGGATTTCTCTGCCGGCCGTGGGATACGAACCGGCAACTTTCCAGCCACAGGCGCAGATCCTGAGCCACAGACCTACGGGTAAGTGCATTTAAAATGATAACGATAACAGAGCCTTACACAAAGGGTGGTGGGGGTGTGGACCAAGCTGCCCAGGAAATCATGTTGAAGTCGACACCCTGGGTGCTTTTGACAGACCCAGTTAGACACTATCGAACCGGCTAGATGGGGGGTGGTCTCCTGCCGTTTGTAATCATAACCGTGATCTTCTGGCTGAAGGCGCAGAGTTTATCGATGGAATACTCGATCCTATTCACCGTCAGAAATGTCCCGCAGCTGTAGGGATAACTGAATTTACATCCTGTCCCTTCAGCTTGTCTGCGCGATGTGATTGCCGGACCGTCACTAGCTGGGATGAAAGAATGAAAACGTCGTTCACGCGTGTAGTGGAACTCACTCGGCTTCGTGTTTAAACGGGTGGGAACAGGAGGTCCGTCCACCCGATATGTCTGTGATCCCACGTGTCTTATCACGGCCCCTTCAGGGTGCGGGGGAGTCCCGTGTTCCTGGACAGCGCCGGGAAAGACAAATCCGGCGGTGTCGAGACTTAAAATGAACCTCTCCCGTTTCAGTCTCGCTCTCGCGCCCCTGGGGTTCCACAAAATCCCGAAAGGTCCCCGGTTCAGGGACTGCGTCATAAAACACCGGTCTCTCTAAGGCGCAATTAACAATTAGACTTTGCGCCGCTTTCCCACCATTTGTAATCGTAATCCTTTTATTTTTCCATTTGTTTCCTATCGGAAATGTGCAGGAGACTCCTTGTGGGTTGCGTGAATCCGGCCGAACCTCCTTATTGTACCCGACCGGGTTCCTTCGCGAGGAGAATCCGGTTTTAATGTAAATCGATCCAGTCCGTTCCGATACGGCGTACACAAGCAAGAAACCGTTTTAACAACGACCGATTCGTTTTTATTGAGGTTGAAAAGATACAACTTCGGCTTCGATTTATCTAAAAAGTGTGGATGGCGGGGGTTAAGGCAATTAACTGAGTTCGAGCGCTTCACTTTGAGTTGCTTGGTGTGGGGGGGATATCGAATATGTAACTGGAATTACAGAACATGGCAGCCCACTGGCGTGGGCGCAGAACCACGGAGGAGAACCGAAATTAGTTCACTGCGGACCCAAACCGACCCAACCGATCCCGTTTCAGCGTCAATAAACTGTCGCGAGAGAAACATAACTTCACCTTCTTCAGATAGTACTGGCAACGGGTGGTCGCTTAGGGGGGGGCAACACCATTACCGTATCTGTGGGACCAAAACACTCGGGAGAGGAGTGACGCAATGCTTTTCAGGCTGTAAAATCATGCCTTGATTACAGAAACTCAGAGTCCTTCCAAAAAAACAAGACTCGAAACTCGATGGTCAACCGCTAAAGTATTTTTTCCTCCCTATATATGTGTCGACATATAGGTACAGGAAAGTAAGGAAAAACCATTTAAGAATTTCGTGCGATTTAAGGTTTATCCAGCACTGGTTGCTGAGCTGAAATGTTTGGACCATCCTAGGGATGAATCCTAAGCAATTTTGGTCAAGACGCTAATATATCTTGATGATGGAAAAATCGAACATTCTCCCCGAGCACTTAATGTCTTCAAAGTGTGTTTTCACCCACTGCCTTGTCCACCAACCCCGCAATCTGTTCGGGTAGCCTCCTGATGGAACTTACATCGAATTAAAACGCGTTTCTGTGACACGACAGTGTTTTATCCCGCTTGATGGTAGATAACGAGGAACGGTATGTCTGTGCAGATCAACATTGTAATTGTCGCAATACGATAAGCCCTACTTGCGCGTTAGAGGTGCTGTACAGTAACACACTAATACAAGACAAAAAAGGAAATAAAAATCATCACATTTGCTTACAAAAAAACGAGTAAAACTAGACTGAGACATTAAAAACTACAGTGAACGGATAAATAAAACTGTATACTGTGTATCTCTCTATATATACTGTTTTCCAGCTATTTCCTTTCTGAGGTTAAATAAAATATCGTTTTAAGTGGTATGAGTCTAACGATCGTCTGAAATATTCTTAGAAGTCCGTTTCCCTCAGAATAGTTCGTTAGATTTAGCGTCACATTATATCAACATACTGTAGCGTTGTTTTCCTGTAGCTGTTGTTCTTTGAAATAAAGAATATCAATTTCATCCCCAATATCTGTTTTATCAACAGTATGTCTGATTGCAGTCTGTTAAGGTAAAGTCGTCTGAGAAAGAATCCAAACTATACTTTTTCTAAACTATATTTTTTACTTCACATTTTTGTGGGTGTACTTTTCACACAAATTTGTATCTCGTTGTTTGTCCCATCAGCGGCCCGTTTCGAGCAATAATGTGTACGGCTGGCATTTTTTAGAATGTATTTATCTTTTTATTTTTGTGTAATGCGTGTCTGTAAAAATCGTTGTTTGGGTGCAAGCGGGGTATCGCCTTCGAACTGTTGCGATTATAATTGAGAGTTCCCTTGGAATCCCTGAGGTTACTACGGAACGTGCCTGTTCCTCTTAAAAACATCCCGTCTGGTACATCTGGCCACTCCCCGAACAGAAAAAAAAAACGGTACAATGTGTGCAATACTGTTTTTGTGTGTGTGGTGGTTGAGAGACAAAGACGCAGGAGAGACAGGAGATTGGCTCAGGCCCGCTTGGCCACGCCCCGTCACTCGCTGAGCACTCGCCGCCGTGTTTTCCTCCATGAGCTGAACACGCGCCGCCGCCGGCCGCTGATTGGCCGAGCGCGACACAAACAGCCCGGCTCGGCCAATGGGCGCGCTGTGCACGCGGGCAGCCGAGCCGGGCATCCCAGCGCCGCATGAGCAGCCGGGGTGGAGGCGAGCGAGCCGATTCACTGGCAGTATAAAACCCGACTTCCCCGTTCTCTGTTTACACCCTCTAAAGTTACCGCGGAGTACAGATGGTGCCTAGCATACGCGCAGTAGACAGAGGAAATAGGAGCACTCGTGCTTTCTAATTAGACGTGGCTAGTTCGCCTTCACTTGCAAAACTCGTCAAAAGATAAGAAATATCGACCGTGCTCGGCAGAACTGCAAGTTTGCTTGGAAGCAGCTTCTGCGAAAGTCGATCCCTTATCTCGCTCAGGTGTGACTGACTGATTGCACTTTCTGGACAAAGCAAGCTTCGATCGGCGGACAATGGTGGGCATGATGAAGAAAGTGAAGACCTTCGAGGTGATCTTCAGCGACCCCAGCAAGACGGCCTACTCCAGCGGGGACAAGGTGGCCGGCCGGGTGGCGCTGGAGGTGTCCGAGGTGACGCGGGTGACGGCCCTGCGGGTGCTCGGCGTGGGCTGCGCCAAGGTGGAGTACGCCAAGGGCAAGCAGCGGTGCCGCGAGGAGATGGACTACCTGAAGTACGAGGACACGCTGCACCTGGACGACCAGCCCACAGGTGAGGGCGAGCGAGCGAGTGCGTGTCTCGGGGAGGGGGGGTGTGGACGGGTCAGAGACGGGCATGAGCGGTGCAGGGGCTGGTTCGAAAAGCAAAACCAAAAGTTGAAAACGTCCTTTTCAAAGCGGTGCGTTTTTAGGGTAAAGGAAGCTCCCCCCCCTCAATTAAGTTTCCCAATGCAGCAGAATGACGGCTACTTTCCGTGAAGTGTTTGGTGGTTGTTGTTTCTCTCCCCCCCCAGTTTGTCATCGGGGCAAGAAAGTTTTGCTTAGTTTCGGTTTCAGCCAAGCGGCGGTGCTGACGAATTAAAAAAAAAAAAAGAGAGAGAGAGCAGGAAGGGGTTTAAGCTGTGGAAACGAGCGACTGTTTTTCCGAGCTGCCTGGACCTTCAGGGTCGGTGATAAACAACATCCCCAGCTGGGGGAAACGGCACCTGGGCCCTCTTGCTCGTCTCCGCCGCAGGGGGGCGCTGGCACGGAGATGGTCCGGTCGGGGAAAGTCCATGCGGGGATTCCCCCCTCCTGGCGTGGAAATGTGCCGGGCCCCGGGAGGGTGAATGCCTACTGTACTTGGGTAACGCCCAGGCTGGGCCGCCGGCCGGCTGGCATTCAGGCTCGGCTGGCCCGGGACGCGAGGTCGTCAGAGCTGTTTGAAGGAAGTCCCCGTCTGTAACGACAGGGGGTGGTTAGAGAGAAGCGAGGGCAGAGAAAATCACGGCTTTGTTCAATTAAAAAACGGAAAATGCTTATACTGCAAGGTGTGGGGGTTGGGGAGAAGTCGTTCCAAAAACAAATAATTAAACCGTTTTTGCTTTCTATTTCAGACAAGGATGGCTCTGTGACTCTGAGACCGGGGAACAAATACGAGTACATGTTTGGATTTGAGCTTCCTCAGCAAGGGTAGGTGTCTCCTTTTTTTTTATCTAAAAAAAATGGCTCGTCTCTTTATTCAGCCTCCCCAAAAAAGGCCTCCGTTCTGTGGGCTAACGGCGCGATCTCTGCCCCCCTGTTCCTGCAGGCAGCTGGTGTCCTCCTACAAGGGGAAGTTCGGGAGTGTGCAGTACTACGTGAAGGCCCTGCTGGAGAGACCCTCCCACCCCACCCTGGAGACCACCAAGAACTTTGACGTGGTGGAGCCCCTGGACGTCAACACCCCTGACCTGGATGTAAGTGAGACTCTCCTCCTTTCCTCCACTGGGACATCGGACCGGTTTCTCTGATGCAGTTGAAAGGGCTTCAGTCCTTCAGATTGGGATTTGTGCCTGAAGTCTTGCTGGTACAGAGGCTGACGTTCCCCTTGCGAGTGTTACTGGGCCGCCAGCGGGGCCCGAGTTGAGCTGGTCACTGGTCTGAGTGGGAGAGGCGCTGGTGGGGCTGGACTTGACCTGGGCTCTTGTTCTTCTCTCTCTCCAGTCTCCAGCAGCCGGGGCCAAGGAGAAGAAGGTCACCTGTATGTTCATCCCTGACGGACAGGTGTCTCTGAACGCCAGGATCGACCGCAGGGGCTTCTGCGAAGGTGAGTGACAAACGAGGGGAGGTGCTTCCTTTACACCGAGGGTGGTGGGAGTGTGGCACAAGCCACTCAGCCATATGGGTTGAAGCCAGTAACCTGGATTCTGTCAGTGCACAGCTGGATTAGATCCTCCAGTTGGGGACAGCAGGCATTTTTTTACACAAAGGGTGGTGGGTGAAGGGACCTAGCTACCCAGCAATGCTGTTAAGAGCCAGGGTGTCGGCTTTCAAAGACATAGCTGGATGAGATCCTGGGTTCAGTTCAGTCTCCCTCAAAGGGGATAGATGAGCTGTAATGGCCTCCTCTTGGATCTGTATCCAACCTTGAGTTCAGTCTTGACCAAAGCCCGTTGAGCTCAGTGTAGTTCTGGAGTTTTAACTCTCTCCTCTTCCCTGCTCCCCCCCCAGGCGAGGATATCTGCATCAGCGCCAAGTTCGAGAACACCTGCTCCCGCATCGTGGTGCCCAAGGCCGCCATCATCGCCAAGCACACCTACCAGGCCAACGGCCGCACCAAGGTCTTCCGGCAGAAGCTGTCGTCGGTGCGAGGGAACCACATCATCTCTGGCATGTGCGACGCCTGGCAGGGCAAGACCATCCGCGTGCCCAAGATCAAGCCGTCCATCCTGGGCTGCAACATCATCCGCGTGGAGTACGCGCTGATGGTGAGCACCACGCTCTCTGCTCCCGTCTGCTGGCCGGCTGGCGAGTAGGGTGACTGGTCACGTCAAGGCAGAGTAGGCACACAGGAAGTTGACGAACCAGAGGCCATTGGAGCCTGTACAGTAGTTGATTGATCCCCCATCGAAAACCAGGGTATCGGGGCTCGACAGCATGGCTGGGCAGCTTGTTCCACACTCCCGCCACTCTTGGGGTAAAGACCAGGTCGAGATTTGTTTTGTAGTTGGGAGACGAGTGCAGTGCTTCTCCCCCCCCAGTGCAGGATAATCCCGTGCAGCCAGGTTCCAGGCTCTAATCCGGTTGCCTCTCTCCGCTCAGATCTACGTCCACATCCCGGGCAGCGACAAGCTGATGCTGGAGCTGCCCCTGGTCATCGGCACCGTCCCCTACAACGGGCTCAGCAGCCGCAACAACAGCATGTGCAGCCAGGGCGGCAGCAGCACCTCCTCCAACAGCTGGGTGTCCCTGCGCATGCCCAGCGCGCCGCCCAGCTACTGCGACATCACCCGGGACTGCAGGCTGGACACCCCTCTCACCCCGCTGCTGGACGACTACGACGAGGGCGACAGCCCCCTCTTCATGAACGCCCCCGAGTTCCAGTTCCCTCCCCTGCCAGCCTACTCCGAGGTAAAAGAGGGTCTCGAGGAGGGGGTGGAGATTTCGGGGATGGGCGGGGGCTTGGCGGCTCTGATCCGTTTTCAGCTTGACGTCTTGGCTGTGCAAAGCATTGTGGGTTTTTTTTTTTCTGGTTCAATGGGAGTTGAAGCGAGTTTGAAATTAGGGAACGGACCCCAAACCGCCGAGCAGGAATGGGGAGTCTTGATTGCAAAATTTCTGTTAGTGTTGGCACAGATATTTAGCACCGAGAAGCGGAATATTGCTCTGATCCCTTCCAGTAAACTAACCCGGCTTGCTTTCTTGTTCTGTAGGTTGACCAGGAGTACAATGGGAATCCTCTTGTGCAGGCCTGCTGAAGAGATGTCCAGAGCACTCCGAGCCCAGCGTCTGGGGCTTCTGCGTCTCTTCAGAGCGTGTGTTTTTTTTTGGAGAAGAGATCAGGGGGACCGCCGCGGAGAGAGACTGGTTGTTTTTAATCGCGTCTCCGAGACTGGGGCCGGCCTGGTGTGTCCTGCCGAAGGAAAGGAGTCGGAAGACGGCGGCCGCCGGTTGAAGTCGTGCCTTTTTCCTGGGTGGGGGTGGGGAGGGGGGCGCTGTGGACTGTGGGTGACCTTCCCGCCTCGCGATCCAAAAAGCCCGAGCTGAACGCTCTGCGTCTCCAGGCCTGGTGCTTTTTGTTCTTCCCAGCTCCTTCTGAGACCTTTTCTCACTCTGGTGCTGCTTGTTGTTGGGGTGACACTCCTACAAATGTAGAAACCCCTCCTCGCTCAGTATTTCATAAGCTATCTCTCTCCACGCGAAAAGACATTTTGAGGGTAGTTTCAAATATGTGGATTGGAACGGGCCACACTGACCACTCCCGGCCCACTCTCGTGGGGCCTAGTCTGTGGTTTGAAGCCTCAGGCTAAAGTTGGAGCTGTACCCCATACCCTCCCCACACAACACCTGTGTGCTGCTTTCTGGATTTGTCCATATGCATTTTGTAGTCATTCCATAAATCCATTTTCATTGTAGTGGGGGGGGAGGGGGGGTTATCTAAGGAACCACTTATTTCCCTAGGAAAGCAGTCTGGGTTGATTTGTTACCATAAAGGCACACAAGATGACTTGTTTTCTTTTTGGTTGTATGTGAGATTGTTTGCATGTGTATTTCATGTTCCATATACAGTTTCTTAGAACAACTTTTGGGAAGAACTGTTCCACAGCAATTATTTTTCTACTGTAATGTTGCACTTTCTGCGAATGCAAGTTGCTCTATAACTGCCTAAAGGAAATTATGTGAACTTTCTTTTTTTTCTAGAAGTCTTCCAGGCTTAGTTTATGATCTTTTGTAGAAAAAATTGAATTGTTTTTGTATTGCGTTAGAGCCGTGTGTCACAGACTGGAGCAGAAGATCTAAAAGCACATTGGTTTCCTTGGATTAACCAAAACCTATAATTAAGGCAACGCATTCTATTGTCAAATCTGGTTACAAGCCAAATTCTCTCGCACTACTGGTGCCAAAAAAGTGGGAGGTCATTGTGCTCGACCCTCTGACACTTGTCTGATCTGTCTGGTGGTGCCTTCCATTTTCCTTATTATTGACATCAGGTGTTTGAGGGCTGGTCTGAAACCACATTTCGTTTTGGAAATTGTGCCACCAGAACATTTTTTCTTTTCTTAGGCTAAGTGACTGTTCAATCAATGAATCAGAGAGAAATTCTATTTGTGATTGTTGTTTTTTTTGTATTTTGTATATTTTTGAAATGCAGAAAGTATTTTTTTTGTATGGAACCCTATGGGTTTGTTTTTCTATATAAAGAATAAATAAAAGTTTTAAATTAATTATGGCCTTTTTCCCTTTGTCCTAAGTCGCACCTTCTCAAATTTTAGCCCATCCTGCATATTTTTGTTACAATATTGGCAAACTGAGAAGCCTTTTTCTCAGGAAGAGGGCTAACGGCTTGGATATGGAAAATGGATCTGTCCGTTTACTGAAGAGGTAACTGGGACGTGCTTCTTGGGTGGGCGTCAGTGCCAGAATGTTGGGAGACATCAGACATGGATATCGCGATTCCGCCATTTCCCGAGAATTCCGTAATCTCTGATGTCCAGCAGTGTGTGAGCCAAAGTGGATTACTTCCCACACCAGCACCAGTGGAAAATGGTTTGTGAAAACGGGAACCATAAGGAGACCTGGAGTAAAATTCACATCCAGAAGGTGGAAGATGACCAACAAGAACCAATGTTTTGGCAGTCGAGTTTTGTCCAGATGTTGGGGACTAAAGCACGCCCTGCCTTGTGCCCACTGCATGCCAGATTAAACTCGGGCTCATCGCCGCCCCATGTTGGAGTTCAGTCAGATGTCGATTGCACGTCGGCACAGACGTCAGCCGAGCGCCGGATGGATCCTTAATTGTTGCAGATGCGTTTAAATGATTAAGGACCGGCTGCAGCAGAGAATTGTGTTGACCCAGGCGCAGAGGCTGTGAACCTCTGGAATAAGGAATTACTGGAAACGGGATTCATGGAATTTCACTGGCGCTGTGCTTCAAGCATGGGACTGGGAAGCCGCTCCACCCTTCCTTGGAAAGAGCGCGCGGAAATCGCGAGGCCGCTCGTGGCGCCAAGGGAAGAGCATGATGGGAGCCTCTGAACGGCTCTGAGCTTCAGCTCGCTCATCTGTGAGAGTTTCTCTGTCTCTTGGCCTTTTTGTTTAAAGTTCTAGTTTGAGTGGGCTTCCGGTTCAGAAGGGTCTGTTCTTGTTTCTGATAAAGAGCCCCCCCTGCCCCCCACCTCTGCTACCCGTGGGAGTTAAGCAAGTTATAGTGCAGGGATCGTGGGAAATGGGCGATCTCCTCCCGTGCTTTGAGAGTGAGGAAGGGGGAGGGGGGGTGTGGCAGGGCTGATAAAGCTCACCAGCGTCCTTATCTCCCTCGGCACTGGGGGGGACGAGAGGCTCAGAGCTGAGCTCTGTCACGTCCGCACCAGCAGGGAGACTTCACGGATCCTCCTCAACTCCGAGCGGCGATCCAAACTCCTTCTCCCGACACCAAACTTAAAAAAACAGGATCTAAAAAATCCACTGGAAGGGGCAGGAAATATATTCATGAAGATGCACCGTGCAAATAATAATTGTCTACTGACAAGAAACCACGTTTGTTTGGATTAAGGGATTAGCTGCTGGAATAATTCCGCAAATGGAAATTTTGTGGACGTGCATCTAAAGAGGATGCACTCTTTATGCACTCGGGAATCTCTGAGGTAGATCTCAATAGTTTTTTTTTAAATCAGACTGAACTATCTAACAAGCTTTTAGCCCAACACAGAGTCATGCAGGGTCAAAACCAATCCTTGCAGACAGCAGCCTCAGGTCTGGACACACCCTGGCCAGGATGCTAGTCCAGTACAAGGCCCTCACACCCACAGATGGAACAGCAGGGAGAACATGCAAACTCCACACCGCTGGTGCTCCAGGAGAGAATCCAACCCTGGCTCTAAAAAGCCAACAACACCCCTCACCTTCCCACTGATGTTAGAAAAAACAAACAGCTGTACTTCTTTCCACCCTGCACAGGCACCAGATGATGATATGGATGACTTCCTTGTCATTCCGAACTGGGAACAGGAGGTTCTTCTTTACACAAAGGCTGGTGGGAGTGTGGAACAAGCTGCAACATGTTGTCGAAGCCGTTATCCTGGTTTCCTTCAAGAAACACCTGGATGAGATCCTGCGATCTATGAACTGCTATGACTACCAAATGGGTTTGAGGGGCTGAATGTCTCCTCTTGCTCTTGTTTGTAACCTTTCTCATGTTCTTCAGCAGCATCACAATGTTAAAATGGTCTTTGTGACGTACCGAGGCCTGTACTGCATTGTGAGTTTGGAATATGGGAGTGGACAATGTCACTCACACAGGACCCCACTGTGTCTCTGTGTGTGTGGTTCTGTTTGGTCCGTTCTGCTGAATGGCTGCTGAGTGTCATGTGCACCCTTTCCTTATGTTCTTAAAAAAAACAGAAGAGAAGTTGATGATGAGATTCAGCTCATCAGCGCTCAACATGTTCCTGCTCATTGACTGAACCAGGACCAGAGACCTCCCCTCCAGCAGGGCATCCTGTGTTCTTCCCAGATTCTGGGGCAACGTGGGTAAAACGAGTAGGAGCAGGGAGCTGTGTCAGCGTGCATAGACAGCAAAGGAACAGGTTTATTCCACACCGAAAGGAAATTCTGTTTCCTTTCTTTTCCTTTCAATTGGGAATACCCCTGTGCCTGGTCCACGGATAAAACCAGTCAAACTGTGAGAAAATGGGAGATCTACCGGGAAACACCGGAGTGTGGGGAAACCATTCTGGGGATAGGATGCTAAACCCCAACTCAGGAAAGACAAAAAACAAAAGCAAGAGAAATAAAAACTCTGCTGTCACAAGCTCCACGCCCTCGGACAAATCTCCTGACGCCGCCGATTACCAGGAATCAAAGTCTGAGGTTTGTTATGGGCGATAAAATAGAAATCTCTGCCGTTAAGTGTTTGTTGTTGTTTTCCACTCAGACCGAAAGTGAAATCTCAACCTCGGGCACTAACGTCTGATCAATAAATACCTGTTATCCTTGAATCGCTTTTCCTGGGCTGCTCTGTATCAGTTACACGTCCTGTTGTGAGGAGGCCCATCCTAAAGTGTTTCCGCTGGCTTTAGTGATCAACAACACCTGTTCCAGTAAAGGGAGGGTTCTTCTGTGTAACTTAGATAAGACTTTCTCAGATCAATAATACCTCCCCCAGCAGGGAGGGTGTGGGAGTGGGGATTTCCATTCAGACTCTGGTCCTGAGTGAAAGCCCTGTGTGTTCAGGAGCAGGTATGTTCTGTCTGCTATCAAGGGCTGGGTCCAGTAACTGAGTTCCATGCAGCCTGGGGCGAGAGAGAGATAAGGACACCAGCACTGCCTTCAGAATGTGTGCCTTTACGCCCCTCATGAGTTATTCTCAATTTTAAAATAGCAAGATATTTGTTTGGGATTCTTCATTTCTGAGGATTCCTTGTCACTGATCTCTTGTCACCTATTTTCTGTTGTCCCCGCACGTCACAGAAAACCCTAAATCAGCAAGCAAACACCCACTACTCTCCCTCCACATAATCAATTCATCAACCCAACACAGATGGAAATTAAGAGCCCCTGTGCCTGCTTATACACCTGATCTACAATGACTTTGCACAACACAGTCCTTTAGACAGAAAACTACAGCAGCACTTCAGAATGTGTGCCTTTACGCCCCCCGCCTCACAATTTTAAAATAGAAATATATTTGTGTGAGATTCTTCATCACTGATCTACATGAATTATAGATAGATAGATCACTTTATTAGCCCTATACAATTTCTTGCATTAGAAATTTGTCTTTTCACAGACCCCAGCTTGCTCTCCATGAGACACACAGACAGGGAGAGAAGCTTGGGGTCAGAGCACAGGGTCAGCCATTGTACAGCGCCCCTGGAGCAGCTGGGGTCCAGGGCCTTGCTCAGGGGCCCAATGGAGTAGGATTCCTCTGCCGGCTGCAGGATTTGAACTGGCAACCTTCCAGCCACAGGTGCAGATCCTTAGCCACAGTACCACTGCTCCGCCCCTCTCTATAATGTTAAATCAGAATGGAATGTTTGACTTGCACTACTTATGCTTGATAACAGTCTCTGCAGCACCACACAGATTGAGCCTCAAACCTACTCTGGACTCGGCTACACAAGACCCTGCTTGGACCAAGATGGCTGACAAGACCGAGCCATCGTTTAGCACTTGGCAAAAGAATCGTCTCGTGAATGCAAAAACATAATTTCCTCATAACCGGAGTCTCATGACACTTCTAGGCTCCATAAACGAGATGCCTGACTGCCTGGAATCTGCAGTAGTTTCTCCCATTATCTGTTGCTAAGCGCCCATCCCTGCATATCCAGCATTTCAGGGTTATAAAGACTTCCACTGAGTCACAACTGTGTTCCCCTCCAGCTTATAACCTCCCCCTCCACAACACTAGGTCATCAGGGAAATGGCAGACCTGTGTAGAGTCACTCACGTGTCCTGCGTCCCGATCAAGGACATTCACTGTTGCTGTTGGGTCCAAGGTGATGCAAAATGAAAGTGACAAACTTCAGCAGGACAAAAGCCAGCAGGGGCAGGAAACTTAGTTGTTTTTTCCCCCTCAAATACTTGGAACCACTGTTAGGAGTGTGAGTACATTAACAGTGGTTGATGGTTATTGCCACCATTGTGCTAGTAACTCATTAACTTTGGGGATAATAATATTTTTATTATTTACTGATGTGCTCTGTTGTTAAGTGTCACGCGCCCGGCGACACAAACCTATTTCTCAGCACTTTATTTGTATTATGAGGTCACGAGATTTCAGCTTTTACTTTTTTTTTCTCAGTAGGTGCACAGCATAAAATTCATGTATTATTTTTTCTGAAAGCGTTTCTATATTTCATCAGCCCCTTGCTTCCCTATTCCAGTTTTCCTGTTTTGAAAATCCTAACGAAAGCCACTGAACAATCCATGAAAAACTTGAAAACAGGGGTAATAGCGATTGAGGACTTACTTAATTTAGAACAAAATTAAAGCCTGGACATGATGACGAATACAGAGGAAAACACCATCCATCCACATCTATCTATTCACACATTTTCTAACTGCTTCCGGGTCGCGGGGGAGTCAGAGTCTATCCCAGCAAGCACCAGGCTGCAAGTGGAGAACACACAGGGCAACACACAGACACTCACACCAGGGCCAGTCTTCCCAGAAGCCAACTAACCCACCAGTGTGTTTCTGGACTGGAACCAGAGCACGGAGAGGAAAGCCCCGCACACACAGACAGGATGTTGTCAAGTTTGTGATAATCGTGACACGAAGCGGCCCTTCCTGCTCACTAGTCACTGTAACGACTCGTACTATGAAGTACAAGCAAATACAGTACAGGCTGTGCAGCAGACACTTCACCACAGAAATGTTCCAATGAGAGAGGTTAACAAGTAGTATTTGTCGGCACAACCGTCTTGAAGTCGAAATAAATATTTCTATTGGATTAAAAGAGATGTTTTCACAAGCCTGCTTGTTTACAGTGTAATAGGGCCGTTTCACCTCACCTGAAGTTTTGCTGCCTCATTCTGAATCACAGACAATGACAGCAACATGACCTGCGCATACCTGGAAATGTAGTCTACTTTGTGACGACTTCACTGTGTGCATTTTACTTTTATTGTGGTCTGAAATGCCCCCATCAATGCCGATTCTTTCTAACCCCAAAATATTAAAAATAGGCTTGCAGTTCCCCTTTAATTCACAAGAGAAATATCTTGGACAAACAGAACCTGGTGAGCTGTTCTTCCTGCACTGAGGGCACCTGTTTGGAAACATTTGTTGTGCAGAAACATGTTTTGTGTTTGGCTGCCAGCCGCAGCAGCAGTCGTCAGAGTTCAGAGTTGCCGACTCCAACTAGGGCAAAGGTTTGCCGGGCTCTGACAAGCACTGGCCTAATTAGGGGGCATAATTGATCTGGTGGCTGGGCGTCAATTTGGCAGAGCAAGAGGAGCGCCGTTGTCTGGGTGCCACCTTCGCATCCAGTTTCGACTGCACTCCCCCCCCCGAAAGCCAAACCATGAGACTGGCTGAGGAAGGCCATCAGAGAAACCAGCCGGGGGGGGGCGGCAGATCAGACAGGCAGGACCATCCTTGACCCCTTCAAAAATCCGGAAAAAGAGAGACAGAGTCACAGGCCACCAGGGGCGACTGACCCATAGTGCTTTGAAATCATAACAACTTATTTCATCAGCCAATTGCCGCAGGTGACAAAACGAATATGTTGCCACACAGCGTCCTCCTCCATATACAGGAAATGTACTGCTCTCACCTGCCACTTCCTGACAAACACATTCCATTCAGGACCTGTCAGACCCGCAGGTCCTAAAACCTGCACACAGCGCTCGTACTGGCCACACGAGGTGGTTTAGGTGACAGGAGACCTGTACTTGCAGACCGCAAGAGAAAAGACACATGCCTGAAAAATACCACACTCACACATAATTCCCAGACCCCACCAAAATATGACTTTGCCTCATAATGACTCCTTATTTGTAGATTTTTGTAGAGGGATATATTAAAAAAAAGGGAGGTTAAGCTCTTCTTTTAGTGTGTGCAGGTCTAAAGAGTCCCAGCCTCTAATAAGCTGATGAAGGAGAGTTGTAGAAAAGTTCATCTTGATTCAGGGCACAAGACATCATTTGGCCCATCAGATAATTAATAGTCAGTTGTTCATAGATCCAATGATCTCATCCTCCCTTTTCTTGAAAGTAACCTGGGGATCAGCTTCAGCAACGTGGGCAGCTTGTTTAACACTCCCACCACTCTTTGTGTAAACAGGTGCGTCCCGTCCCTGCGGTTTCCACTTCCATGGAGTTTCCACTTGTGCCCTCCTGTGTGTGTGTGTGGCTTTAATGAAGCCAGACATTTTGAGGTGGGATCAGGTCACTGCGTGTTTCAAGTCACCTAAAATTCTTCCGCTTTACAAAGCACTTTGGTTCTGTGCTCAGTGGGTTGTCAAGCAAAAACAATGCGTAGACACACTGGCAGAACAGCACAAAGCTCTGCGTGTACCTGAACCATTACCACAGTGTATAAGAACTGGTTTAAAGCAGTGAGGTCCTCTGCCTTTAGTGTGTCAGCAACTGTACAGATGTGTGCCGATGTTCACAATGTGTCACATGCCTTGAGCAGCAGGGATGTTTGTCCCAGGATTATTCCCAGAAGGTGAGATCATCCCTCCTCTGACGTATCCGTAGCTCTTTTCCCATGGCCTGCGGCACAGCTTAACGAAGACCATCTTATTTTCGGATCTAAAGGCTGCAATTAGAAGGAATGCGTTTAACAATGATGGGAAAAGTGGACTGCATCTCACAGGCCTGGCAGCCAGAGACTTTGCAAATGTGGCAAAACCGTACACAGAGATTAAACTAGAAGAAGTGAATCATGGTTTAACGTGGTTCACTGTCCCAGAGGGGTTGTGGACATGCTGTACTGTACACAGCAGAGAGGTGTTGCAGACAAGCAGCTGTTCTGCTGCTCGGAACAGAACAACAACAGCACAGACCCCAGCCTGTTTACCCACAATCCTCCCACAGGGGTCACGTCCCCCGGTTTCCATCAATACAGACACATTATGTAAGTGAATGCTTGGAATGTTCTGGACACCCTAATACAGGCCTGAAATAGACTGCAGATTCTTCTTACTTCGAATACTTAGTACTTAAACACAACTGACAACATTATATATTTATCCTAGATACACATGGATTTTTAATTATGATAGTTAATTATTCTTTGCATCTATGGAGTGCACTTAATCCCAAAGGATCTCAAAAAGGCATTGCATGTAGGAGAACTTCACCAAGCTCTGAAGTGCGGCCACAACTGATACTATGCTACTCCAGTCCAACTACACATCAGATCAGGTTCACCTCCTGGAACAAGGGGGACTTTAGGGAGGCAATTCTTTACACAAAGGGTGGTAAGAGCATGGAACAAGCTACTCAATTGTGTTGTTGAAGTCTGGTGTCCTTCAAGAAACAGCTGGATGAGATCCTTGGGTGAATACGCTACTCACTTTCAAATGGGTCGGACAGGCTGAATGGCGCCCCTCGTTTGTGACTCGCCGTGTGTCCTTCTGGGAAGCGCTAGAGATCCAGGGACCTGCGGGGAGACCGGAGGGCGTTACGCTGGCGGAAATCTGGGACGCAGCTGATTTTTCCAGCCTGCTGGGTGCACAGAGGGGATAATGATCAGAAACTGGATGCCCTTGTTTATCGCATTCCAGCCCTGCACCTGTTCCCAGAGCTCTGGGATAGAGGGGGACAGGGAGTGGGGGGCTCAGGGTGCTACACTTCCTTTTTTCAGCAGTGTGCCCCTTCCAGGAATCCAAGTTCTGTACAGCCGCCAGAGAAATTTACAGAGAAATGTACTTTCCCTGCCAGGTGGGCAGAATAGCCAGGCCAAGTGAACTCCAAGTAAGGCTGAGGCAGAGGAGGGCAGTGCCCAGACCGCCCTCGATCCCCCTCCCTAACGGCTGGGTTGAGGTCCTATACAAGCCTGGTTGATGGGGTCTCGTGTTTTCTATCACACAGATGGAGATCTCTGCCTGGTCCAGAGCATCGGCCCAAAACGGGGCCGAATCTTTCTTCTGTTCTTATGCGAGCCCTTCCAGACCAGACTGGCACCTGTTTGCACCCCTGGGGCTAACAGGAGCAAGCAGGGAAGCAGGTCTTGCTTTGCATGGAACAGAACTCTAAATCTTGGGGCAGTGGATCCTCAGTCCTCGAATTATTTGCCCTAACCCCTACACACTGCAAGATCAGCTGCTTCTTGACTGTAATCAGGGTTTACAGAAATCAGATGGCACAGGATGGACTCATGCACAAACATGCAGAAAGATGTTCATCAGTTCTGAGCCACAGCGCGCAAGTCAGGCATTCCAGAGACAACGACTCCTGTTCCCCTTCCATCATTGTTTTTCCTCTGAGCCCGAGCCTGAGCTTTTCCTGACCTGAAACCCGAGTCTGAGCTGTGATTTAAAGCAGAAACAGCTCACAGAGTGCAAACATGAGACACGGCCAAAAGGAGTTTGAATGCCTGGCGGTCTTCAGCCAGTTTACAGAAAGTAGGACTTTGGGTGCTGACAGGGACAGTATCAAAATAACAGGATCGGCTCTCCAGAGCTGTCCAGGACGTTACAAGCAATCTTGCTCACAGTGTCACCCTGGCTCAGCTTTCTTCATATTTGCCTGCTTGCAGAAACTGTGATCACTAAGTGCTGGAACTAAAACTGCCTGTTGAGTAGTGGCAGGAATGAACGAAAAACATGGAGATCAGACATGCACCGAAATTATTTTTGACACTGAACCTTTTGCAAACCCGTCGTGCACGCAACTACACGAAAGCCAGGCAAAACGTTTCGGCCTATTGCTCTGCTCAGATTGTCTGGCTTAAGGGAGTTCAGAAAAGTCCCAATCGTATCTGGCAGGACTGTGAGATCCCTTTCCCCCTGATATTTCCAAGTGTTTTTATCGGAATCAAATGAGGCCCTCCATGGATTTCACGAGCAGTGCTGTTGTAGCACCAGCTCAAACCCAGACGCTCTACGAAAGGCGAAAGGGCACTCTAATAAATTTTCGCACTACTGTACGTGTCTCTCTGCATGCCCAGCGCAGCTATGTGGGGCTTAGGGTAGCCTTTAAGATTTGCAATGCCAATCACCTGTGCAGCCAAGGACACTGTGGTATGCAGTGTTAGGCTCCCATTACACAGAGATAAATTTAACTTCCTTGCTAAACACACACACACACTCGCTCACTGGGCACGACCTGGACGTGTCTGATGTGGAGGTTTTTCTCCAGGGCACGTACCTGTTTTTGTTCTCCCAGCTGTTGGGACGCAGGTTAGTACGAGATCTGTGCTCCCAGAACTAACACAACCTCTTCAAGGTCAGATCTGCCTAATATTCTTCCTCTTCCCCACCAGCTGTGTGTGTTTGTAGGAATAAATATTTTAAGGGTGTTAAAACTGGTCTGTGTGTGTATATATATATATTCAGGTCTGGAACGCAAGTCTGGATTCGTGTAAGAGAGAGATTTAAAGCATAAACCTGAGAGCTTGCCTCCAAGAGGCTGCTGTTTTCTTTGACATTGACCTGGATAGTTCAATGCTTTCACAGTTGTAGAAATATCCCCCACTGCCACTTATTTCTCAGTTCTGAGAAATGTACTTTGCTGTATCACCTTCAGCATGCTGGAGCGAGACTGCATTCTCTTGTAGTCTGAGACTCACCCTCCATCCCCCCCCCCCAGCCACCTCGCCACCGGCTCATTCACACCACCCTTCCTGTGCATGAGATGCTCTCACGACCCGATTGGCCGGCCGGCCAGATCATCCGCGCTCTGATTGGAGGAGGCCCGTGTTCACTCCGAGGGTGCATGCTCTTGTTTTCCTGCGCTGCAGTGTCAGGCTTTTCCAGCCCCCGCAGGCCTGCTGCTTCCTGTGTACACAAGAGGAGAAGTTCTGAAGACTAAGTCATAGAAACAAAAGTGGGTGGAATGCTGTCGCTGGGGTGACTAATACGCTGTTCTCAGCTGATGACCTTAACCCCTGGTAAACACTGTGCTAATTTCTTGAAACACTGTATGCCCTAGTTTACCAGTTTTATCCTGTAAGAAGGCACTCTCATTTACAAAAAGTGACCCAGCAGGGTAATCACTGGGACAGATTGTGTGAGGCACCGTGGTCAAGGGTACAGCAGAAGTGTCTATTGAAACTGGCTATCAGATCCAAATGCCCCTTCAGTCTGAGGTCCAGAGCCGTGACCGCCATTTCCTGCTGCTGGACGACAGGAAATGGGCAGGGGGTCACTGACGCTGGGGAAGGCCATCCTTCCAGGCCGTTTTCAGAAACTCCTATCCTCCATAAAGACAGGTGACCTCAAACGTGGGCATGATACGATTAGGGCAGAGCAGTGGCTAATGATCTGCGCCTGTGGCTGGAAGGCTGCTGGTTCAAATCCTGTGGCCGGCAGAGGAATCCTACTCTGTTGGGCCCCTGAGCTGGTACAAGGCCCTGCTCCAGTGGTGCTGTACAATGTCTGACCCTGTGCTCTGACCCCCAGCTTCTCTCTCTTCCCGTCTGTGTGTCTCACGGAGAGCAAGCTGGGGTCTGTGAAAAAACATACCGACCTGACCCCGAAAGCTCTGGGCTGTGGTTCCCTCTACCTTTTTCCCAGGCTTCTCTCTGCTCAGGCTGGTGTGAGAAGCTGGACAAGGGGAAGACAGGAAGAGGACGATCTACTGTACACCGGTCTGTACGTTGTACATCCCCAGCTGACTGGCCTGTGACCTGTCACACAGTCATTTCCCAGGGAATGGGGAGTTTGTTCACAACACCCACAACCCCTTGTGTAAAGCAGCCCCTCCTTTTCTCAGACATTTCACTGTTCATTGCCATTCTTGTTTCTTTGACTTATTCAGAGCTCTGAGCTTTTGGAAAACTGCCCATAAATTATCATTGTAGCAAGCAGATGGTTTAAAATGTTTGAGAAGTCGTTGCTTCAGGATTTTATAAACAAACATCCCCTGTCATTTCTGAAACATTCTTTTGAACCCAGCTGTAGACTTCCTGTGCCTTCTTGTTTTCTTGTATTGAAACCAACCTTGGTTTCAATACCCATTTCAGATTTTATTAAAGAAGTAAGGAAATTCACTGCAAATTAAATCCTTCACAATGTCACCTATTCTAACCACCTAATAAAAGGTTCTGTGCATCTGACATATTTCTTAGGTTGTGCAGTCCGTGTGTGTAGGATGAAAAACATCTACAGATACTGTACACCTCTTCAATTCTTTTGTTTTTTTAAAAGAACAAGTACTTTCAGCATCCCCACAAGTCCTCCTGAAATTCTCTCAAACCTTTCTCAGAGCTTGAGGCACGAGGCTGTTGTGCAAGACCACACCTGACAACTGCTGACAGAAGAGATGCCTCATCCTCAGTCTTCACCATCAACAGCACACAGGCAGAGGACTGTGCATGCCTCCGGAGAGTGACTGCCAGTGTGAAAACGTGGCTCGGCCAATGGGATTGCGAGTGATCACGAGAGACAGCCAATCAGGGACTAGCTTGCTCATGCACTCTGTGGAAGCATGCCTGTTATAGAAGAGGAAGTTGCGGTCATGACAGAGTTATAATTGAGGTATTTTTGTAACAATGTTCTTTTTTCTTTAGTCAGGAGTTTCGAAATTTTCTTAACTGAGAAAGCAACAGCTAATAATATTTTTTTCCAGGTACTTCCTAGAATATCTCAATGCAGTCACTTCCCTGTGTTACAAACACAATTTAACCTTTAAAATTACACTGTATCGACTACAATGTTAGGGTTAGGAGTGACATTGACTTTACAGACTTCATTCAGCTTTTGAGACGATTGGACGTTTATATTAGTGAATCGTCAGAATAGGAGCCTGAAAAGTCAACTCCGTTTATGGAAAAACCTACCTTAATATTATATTTTATTGCCACTTATCTCTAGTATATATATATATGACAAAATAAGTCCTGGATAGAAGAAAATAGGAAAGGTAACTAACTAGATGAGTTCTTGTTAGTCCTAGCTCGTCTGGGCTACTAGGTTGCTAGTAACTAATTGATCTGAAGATCTAATCCAGCTGTTTCTATACACAAAGGGTTGTGGGAGTGTGGAACAAGATATAGTGTTGAGGCTGATGCCCTGACTTCTCTCAAGAAACAGCTGGATGAGATCCATGGATCCATGGACTACTAACTGCCAAATGGGCTGAACCTCCTCCTGTCTGTAACATCCTGTAACGGGGGTATGGACATCAACAACATGGCTTAGCAGCTGGTTCCCTACTCCCACCACCCTTTGTGTAAAGAAGTGACTCTTACTCTCAGATGTAAATATTCTTCCCTCTAACGTGGTGAAACAGTTCCGCAAGCAATGTCTCCATGAACATCGGAGCTACAGGAAGACTTTCCTAGTTTGCCAGAGGGCTTTTGTTTGTGTCACATGAAACCATGAAATCTATTTGATCGGGTGTTGTGATTCACTGTGGGCAATTGTCTGGAGACAGCGAAATGAGTCACCGGGTTTCTGTACTGTTGAGGAAGGTTTATCATAAATAGATCTTTGACTA